ACAGTTTGTGGACTTCCTGATAGTAAAGAATTACAATAGTTCAGGCTTGAAGTAACAAATGCATGGAAACATATATTTCACATGTATATATTACATAGCTTTTTAACATTTGAGCACAAGCTTTTCTGGTGTGGATTGCTTAGCAAATCTGACACATATGATATTGCTTTTTTTCTCATACGGACCTTTTAGCGATGCTTTCTAAAACAGGTTTCTCACTTAATATTTATTTTGGTGCTTCCACATGTAAAACATGTGATCACATGTGTTTTTCTTCACAATAGAAATTTCTTCTTCAGGTAATGCTACAGTTGATTATCCAAATTAAAGCTCAGCTTGTGAAAACAAATGAAAAGCACCATCAGTTAATGAGACAATTTCCCTACTTCCAAAAAAAAGGTTCCTTATGTATGATGCTTCTGGCCAGTTCATTTTCCAAATCTCTAAACAATCTATGAGGCAGATTTTGGCTGATGGGAATTTGCTGTGCAATAACCTTATTTGGTTCAGCTTCAACACAGTGATCTGTTTCATAAAACATTACATTTTGAATAAGCAATGTTAAACATGGTATCTGAGAAGCTGTTAAAGCAGATTTTAATTGACATCAGATCAAGTCTAAACCAAATTTACTTTCTTTTTCTTTGTACTAAATAGGGCAAGAAAAATAGCCTTACAGAATACATTTATGGCATAAATAAGGAAAACGACTGGTTAAGTTAAACTAGTAATAAAATGATATATCTATTGTTCGATTCAGTTTTATTTGTTTGGGGTTTCCTTATCAAGACTTAAAGGTCCAACTTGGTGCTGGCTTTATATTTAGACAAAAACAGAGAGAAGTGCTAACTATTATGCTAACTTTTTACCGTTAGCTAAATTCAGGCTAATGCTACCACCAGTATAGATCATTATACTAACTAAGTATTGGTGTTTTGTTTTTCTATAAATTCTTTATCTAATTGGAAACTAACTTTAACATGAAGAAAATAAGGCGTCCTGAGAGGTGACTGATTTATAATGGGAAGAATAAACAAAAAACACGTCAAAATAACAAAGTGAAAACAGAGAACACATTTTAAAATGTATTGTAATTAGCTTATTTTACTCTCAGAAAATAAACTTGCTGTTAATTATGATTTTTATTTAGCAAGAGATCGCTCTGAGTTGTATTAAATTGTATGGGGGTCATTTTTCATCCAGTGATGAAAACCCTGATTAAATGGCAATTCTGAATAATATTTAATAATACAATTGAAGTGAATTAAACAGTTCTCCTATTTTTTTTATTTTTATATTTATTGAAATTTGTATAACATTTGTCATGATGGCATTTCAAACTTTTAATTATTTTCTTGTGATTTTATATGATGAACCAACTTGAATTAGAACATGAATACAAAAAACAACATTTAAAAAAATGTCACAATTCTTTGAACAAACACCTTTCACCCAGGCTTTAGCTGGAATAATTTGTTTAATTTACCTCCGGATCGATAGTTGGACGTTTGGGGAACCTCCCGACCAATCACGAGTCTTTCAAAGCTTCTCTGGTTTTCTGTAAGCGCAGTCATATATTTAGCTTTAACTGCCTTTCTTGTCCATAATAAAGAAAAGCATCTCCTCAGCATCATGCTGCCACCATCATGGTTCACAATGGGGAGAATTTGTTGTAGAAACTGTTTGTATTACAGCATTGTCTTCCACTGCTGTGTAAATTCTCAGTCGTCCGGCTCATAGCAACCAAAAACAGGCTTTAATTGAAAAGCAACCAAACTTTCGCTC